TATAGATTAGAAATAAGCTATGATTATAGTAGACTATAGATAGCTTAATTAACTAGCTATTAATATCTATATTTATATCCTTCTTTATAGTCTAGTAACCTTATAAAGTAAATATATCTCTTATATAGATATATAGCTACTACTTACTTACTTTTACTATAATTACACTCTTCTTAGTAGTCTAGTAACTCTATAAAATAAATATACCTCTTATATAAATATATATAACTAATACTTACTTACTCTAAATTGACTAACTATTAATTAACTAGCTGTTGATTTCTATAATCACGCTCTTCTTAGTATAAACGTAAATAGGGCCTAATTTACATCAATAGGGTGTGGATCCGCATTTTTACTACGACACTTAGTGGTCTAGTAACCCTGTGAAGTAAGCGCGCCTCTTATAGATACACGTAGCCACCGCTTACTCGCTCATCATTGACTGACTGTTAATTAACTAGCTGTTGATTAACTGGCTGTTGATTTCTAGGATCACGCCCTTCTTAGTGGTCTAGTGACCCTGTGAAGTAAGCGTGCCTCTTGTGTAGATACAAGTAGCCACCGCTCACTCGCTCCCAATCATCTCTCCTGGAGCTCTGTGTTTCTCCTCTGTAGTCGCTAAAGAAATAGCGCCACAGCTGTTGATTAATGAGACATGGGCATTCTTGCTCACTCCCCATACATCATCAAACAGCATGGCTGACTTCAAATCGGTGCTCAACATCGACGAAAACACAAAATGGAGGATTGAAAGACAGCGCCAGATAGAGCGCCAGGCCAAAAGGGATGCAGACAGACGGCACGCGATGATGCGGCAGCCCTTCCTCGAGGAGCGCCTACTTACAGAGGATAATCCGCCTAACTGCACGCTGGCGGCATTCAAGGAGCCGCGGCTACGCAAGTGTCCATTCAAGTTTGACCAAATATCTCGTGTTGATAAAATTACACAACATCCTGACCAGAACGCTGGCAAGTGTGACGGCGGCCTAGATGGCTGGAATTGGAAAGTCGACTTCGAGGGCGTCACGGGAGGCCCATTTGTCCTGAAGCTGGTATGTCCGAAAATCCCATTAAAGACCCGAATCATTCTCATATTTGGAAGTGAATGGTGCTGTTTGTCCGCCAAAGTTTTGGGACTATGAGCCCCCCGAGCCTCCGTACTATTTTGCCGCCCAGCGCGAGTGCCAAAACGCCGCCCTTCTCCAGCAGATGCACGAGGCCCTACGACCCGAAACCGCCGATAAAGGACCGGTGCGCATACTTCCCGCGCCGGAGGACAGGTCGGAGTGCAGGGCGAACCTGATGGCCTTTTGCGACGAGCAGCGCGCCATCCAAAAGCAGCACCCCAAGCACGAGGATCTCGAAGACGTCACCTCAATGCCTCAGCTGCGCAGGTGCTACGGCTGGATGAAGGTGACGAGCGCGCAGCTAAAGGCCAAGATTCCCCGCAAGCGCTGGCCACCATTTGTCGATTGTGGCAAGGTGGTGCGTGGACTTGATAGGCCCACCAACGAGAAGGAGTACCTGGCCATTGTGTACGAATACATTGAGGAGAGCGAAAATGTGGCCGAGACGATGCAGGAGACGATCAATTTTCTCCACAATGCTGGATTTCACTTCTGCCTGTCCTCCATGTTGCGCAACTGGAAGAATTCGATGCTTGTTGATCATTCGGATATCATCCATGTGGGAGGGAATGGATGGCGCAACGTTAGGCTATTGACGGCAGAGGAACTATTACCGGGGGAGGGACGATGTCGATGAGAGTTTACCGGTTATGTGTCCATGCATTCTGAGTTGTTTGCCTGCTTTTGACATGCATTTACATACAGGAGTTCGCGCAGAATACAGTTATATCTAACAAATAAAAGAACGGCGAAGAAAAGCTACCTTCTGCTTGGCTCACTTGCTGCTCTCGCGGGTTTGCCCGTCATCTTTTTGCGCCAAGAGTCCTGGTCCTTGTGGCCAAATCCTGTCGCACTGATAGCTCTCACTTGTTCGTTGTTACGTTTGTACAAAGTATTTTCACCCCCGTACTCCTACGACCTACTCTCTTACTTCTCGTCGACTGATGGTCCGCTTCTGGCTCATATGTTGCAGCTGTTTCTTCATCAAGAGGACCTGGAATGAAGCATCGCGGTCGCCAAGGCCCAGCTGCCCTCGTTGGAGTCGAGACTGCTGTCGCGTCCTTTGCTCTATCGCTCTATCGCCGACAGCCTGTTTTGCTCAGGTAATTTTATGATGTGCAGCCCCCGGTGCTTGTCTAGGTCTTGAACGCCTAGTGGCTTATCCCAATGGTGTGGCCAGCTAGTGTGTTCTGCTCTCCTCCTTCATTCACTGCATGGCCTTTCTTGATTCGTTACACCATTCTTCTATTTCACTGCATGGCTTTCGTAGCGTCTGACCGCTTGCTGCTTGCCACACTACCTCTCTAGATGCAACAACGAGGGGCTGCTTAAGGGTAAGAGGAATTGAGGCGTGGTGTTGAAAGCTGGCAGAAGATTGCTCTTTGACTGGACTCTGATTGACTGTATTAACAAATACGCCGTATGTAGTAGCCAGGCTAGGAGAAATTAGTTTTAAAAGGGCTTATTTGATTGTCAACCTGACTGAGAGCAGCCGACTGATTTGTGGCCAGCCGGCTGTCTATTGGACCAACGGGGTAAGGGACAGGTGAAACCATAGAAGAGTAATGCCAGAATTAATAGTCAATTTCGTGCCTAGAGGGCTTCCTCGTTAAAACAGTGATGATACAGTAGTACATGTCTTGGCGCCAGGGTGATCCAGCCTAAAGGCGCACAATTCAAAATAGCAATCTGGCACGTGGACCAAAGCTAGAAGCTCGAGCAAGCAGGGAAAATGATAGAAACAGTCACCTAAGACGAGTGGCCGCTCTCAGACGAATCGGTCTTGGAGAGATCATCGCCGTTTTCCTCCTCTTCAACGAGGGGACCGTGGACAGACTCTTCGAAGACAGGCTCAGTGTCAATAACCTCAAATTTGGTCCTAAAGTCTTTGCCATGGTGTGACACGGTACTGCTGTTGGAGCGACGACGAGCATTGGTGAAGGTGAAGTCCTCGTCGGCAATCTCTTCATGAAAGGTACCCCTGATGGCTTGTTAGTGGTGATTGATGGAACATTGCTTACAATTGAGCAAGCATGTTGAATGAGGTAAAGCCAAGAAGCGTAGTTCACTTACCAATTGCCTTTGCCAGCGCCGTCCTTTTTGATCTTTTTGGGATCGACGTCGGCGTAGCCACTCTTGGCAAAGTATCGGGGCAGATGCTCAACTGGGAGGGCGGTGCCTTCGGCGAGACCCTTGTGATCGCGATCGTTGGCCTTGTGGGAGCGGGTCACTGGATATTGTTAGCACTGCTTTTTGTACGCATAGACGGGAAGTGAATTGTTGATGGTAAAGGATGGCTTACTGATGGCGGTTGAGTGTAAGTGCAATGCAGTGTATCGGAACTAGATACGATTGATCAAGGACGATGGGCAGCCAAAGGTGATGAATTGGCTGTGCTCAGATGGCAGAAGTATTTCAAGAGGATGAAAGAGCTTTGCAATGGGGAGAAATTGCAAAGTCAATGGGAGGTGGATGGCTCAACAAAACAAGACGGCGATGCGAGCTGGGGTGATGATTTGCAGAGAAGAGTATGCGGGAGAGGGCCAAGTGGTTGGAGTAGAGTCAATGTACAAGGCGCAAATGGAAGTGTTGATGGGATGATGAACTGGGAGGTGATGGATTGTTGATGAAAGAAGACATAAAAATCAAGATGGATGATGAAGGTGAGAGGGAGGAGGGGTCGGATGAGAACTAATTATAAGTGATGGGACAGAGGAGACAGATGGCAGAGAAGGACCTAGATAGGTAGCTGGAGCGCCGAGATGAGGAGACGCCTCCTGACTGGTCCAGAATGAAGAGAGTCAGTCAGAGCTGTCGTCACGCGAGCTTTGCGCATCGAATGAGCGAGGGGGGCGGGGAGGGGTGAGGGGAGCCAAGTAAACCGTTAGCAGGGAGCAGTGGTATGGTGTGGCGGCGAGAGTTATGAGGGTACCTTGGCCAGGCATGTACCTTGCGGCAGCAGAACAAACCATAGCTGTACCTACCAAAACAAGGGTAGTTGGAGAGCAGCTAAAAAGAACTTGGCGCATTATTACCGTGGGGTCCGAAATCAAATAAGACCAAAAATAATAAAGCTACTTGTCCCTGCGGTGACGATACTATGGCTCGGCCATGTCGCATCGCGTGACCTGACGCAACAAGCACCTGGTGCCCTCTGCCCACCCAAACGGAACCCAGCCAGGAATAAAGAGAAAAAAGAGGGGCCCGGCCCATTGGGACTGACGGCGGGTACATGACTGCGCGCATATCCTGCTTTTGCCTTGCTCTCTACGCAAGTGATGGCGCGAATTGCGCAACTTTACCTGGCTTCTAGAATTCATCCAATTGATCCCAGAAACATAAAACACAATTGATCGCGAACTGGCGCAGGCTTGTCGACTCCGCCACGCTGTTTCCGGCACGACGCTATTTTGCGGGGGTGGGCACCGCTACTGTGAGGGAAAGCGGGGTCTTGCCAGGTTGCTGGCAGCTGCAGGTGTGCAGCACAGTGCCGGCCACGCAACCACGGTACGACAAGTGCATGGGGATCGGCTTGCTTGCTTGCTTGCCTGCGACATGATTTGCATTGCAACATGCAGCGAACGCTCCAACTTGTAAATGACTGCCAATTTAATCGACGCAGAATAAAATAGTACATGCATCAAATTTCGACGAGCATTGTTTACCCGTGTTTGCCCGTGCGCTTCAAACACCTTTACTCCCCATTCCCCATCATCAGAGACTCGGTCCACGCGCCAGCCTCACAGTGGATATCGCATCGGCCTACACCGTCTAAGCCCATGCAGGGACACACAAGCAAGTGGAGCACAAACACTTGCAAACGCAGCATCACCGACTCCGGAGCTCTTCTGCTGTTGGTTTGCATTCTGCAAACCATCTCTTGATGACGTCGCATCACAACGTCCAGCTTGCAACAAAGCCAATTCCATCATGGCAGTATGCCGATGCCGCAAGCCATGAAACCCGTGATAGTTCGCCATGTTCTTCAGTCCGTCAACAAATTGCACCCCACTAGACCAGCTTGTGATTCATATGGAGCCGTGAGTTGGGGCATCCGATTTCGCCATTATACGGATAAAATCAAGCAAAGCGTTTCGACCACCGTCTTTTACATGCTAGCAAGTTGCAAAACGACATCTAATGAATGCTGCAGAACTATGGTAATTCCCCGTACTCATCGCGGCAGATACATCAGCGTCATGTCGTAAAAACGTCATTCTTGTCCATGACGACGAAGCACCTAATATCAGCACTCATCTTGCATCATCTTGCTATTCTGATGAACCCAATCTCTTTCACGTCCCTTCCCAATCCCTCTTTACCGCCCATGACCGCTTCTTCGCCACAAAGGACACGGTATCCCTTTGTCCTGGGTCACCCTGCCTCGTCCCTCCTGTGCGAGTCACTGCCCCGCGTCACCATCATTCTCCTCCCAACAACTATTTAGCCCCATCTCACCTTTCGGAGAATATTCTAGAGTCACACACATGTCAACGTCTGTCTTCCACCCTCCTGCAGCCTACTGTCTCTCCGATTGCGCAACACCCCCTGGCCAACGCTAAGAAACCACATGCCCGCATGATCGCGAGACCCGCCTCCCGATCTGCCTCGCCCTCGAAGCGATCCACTTGCGGCCCTGGATTCCTGCACCAAGCTGCATCCACTCTCTTTTTACAAGGTACAGCAGTACCGACCGAGCCCCTGCTGGTCAAGTTCCAGTTCATGCACGTCGGCGACTGCGGTGTTACGACTCCAGCCAGCTTCATCGTCTGCATCTCGGACTCCTTTGCGCTCAACGACGGCCCTCCGAGACTACCTCTGTCACATCTTTTTTCTCACCTTTACTTGAAATCGCGCATCGTGAGAATTTAAGTAGACACACGTTACATCCTGTGAATTTTATAGTACCATTGCCCAACGCCAACAAATTCAAAGCTCTCACCCTATTTTCAACGCTCAATTGCATCTATCTTGTTTGCTTTTCTCGGTGAATGTTCTCAAGCCTCAGGCTCCTAAGCCCGATGCCGGTCGTGGCAGCTCGCGCCTCAAATAATAGGTAATAATGGCAGACATGTAAAAGATCATGTGTGATATAACAGTAAAATGCCTCTTTGCTCTCCTCCTATTCCACCCATTGTCAATCTCCACTTCTTCAAGCTTCCCTCCACCGGTCTCATCTCGTTCCCATTCTCGAAAACTCGTTTTGATACCGCAACTTGAACCCATTGCACAGGGCGCGCATGTCAGGGTATTGGTAGCCCTTGAGCTCGAAACCTTGCGGAATCACTCGGATGGGGATACCAATCACATTGGCTGTGCGGCTGGCCTTGAAGCATAGCCAAAAGTAACCAGAGTGTTTCGTGTCAATGCAGAATGCATACGCTGACCGGTTGGGGTTCGCATCAATGTACGTAGTGAGCCATTTTTCTGTTACGCGTTAACTTAACATACAACCCAGAAAAGAAAAGAAAATTAAACCTACCAGTCTCGCTACGCGAGCGGTTCTGATACTTGTCGTGACGCATCATCTCATCTACCTTGCGAGCCATCGCCTTAACGTGGTCCACAATCAATTCGTCCAGATCGCTATATGTGTACCGCCCACCGATTCGCAACAGCTTGCCCACCGAAAACTCATTCTCCTTTTGCATCTCCAATACATCGATGTGCTGGTACACGTTGTCTGCGACCTTCCAAGTAATGGCCAGATGGTCGTTTCCTTTCGATGATGGTCGAATGATGACTTCGCCAGGTGCTTGCGATCCCAAAAACTCCTCTGCCTGCAGACCATTGAACGGCTTGAAGTTGGGGTGCTTGACAACACGTTGCGTGCGTCCAGTGGTCTTGTCTTTTTCTTTCAGCTCCTCCTTGTCCGCAGCCTCTTGGGCATAGTCCCATCCGTCGCGTCCATGGTTGATCGGTCGCTTGTAGGGAATCCGAAGAGCATCCTCTCGCATGGAAAGCTTGGCAGAAAACGCCTTGTAGTCCAATTCTAGAATCTTAGCCCGCGTTGTTTGGCCCACACTCAGCACGTCCTTGACAGAAGGCCGGCTGGTCACCTCGTGAGCCTCTGCCCTACCCTCGATACCGCAGTCGAGCTTGGCAATGGCAAAGTCATCTCTGGCCACGCGAATGTTGACAGGTACAATCATGCCTTCGCAAAGTGTCTGCTTGGTCTCGCCAGTAAAAATGGTAAAGATTTCTGATTGCGTCAACGGCGCAAAGCTTCTTCTCAGCTCTTCGTACTCTGCCTGAAGCTCAGCACTGATAGCCTCGAGAGTGGCACGCTTTCGCTGGTTGAAGTTGCGCAACAGCTGATCGGCATACTCATCCAGAACCAGCTCATTGACTCTCTCTTGTTCGCCCTGCTTGAAAAGCTTGCGCACAATAGCGCCCGGGCCATTTTCATCAATCTCAGCTTTGACATCTTCCTCGTCGAGTTCCAAAGCATCGGCAGCCATTTTGCGACCAAGCTCATAGTCTTCTGGATGGACACGAGTATTGTCCAGAGGATCAGAGGCAGGATTCGTCGCGTCGTAATCAATGTATAAGAAACTAGCACAGTTGTTCCACACGCGAGGACCAACAACGGGGAGCTTCCGGCTTTCGGGGTCACCGACAAGCTCTTCTCTTGTATTCACCGAACCACCGTTGGCATTGATGGCCTTGATCACACTGGTGGCCTTGCGCGGCCCAAGACCGGCAATAAAGGGGAGCAGGTTCGCAGTGTACGTGTCAACCATGGCATCGTTGATGTTGACGCCGACCATGTTGACAGTGTCCACCATTGCTGACTCCAGATATTTGGCAACCTTGTCCTGTGGCAGCAGGTGCTGACAAGGGTGGAAAGAGAGAGAGCTCACATCCTTGCCCAGCGCAGCGTACTCCTTCATGGGGTTCTGCATATACCGGGCTAGGGCAACGCAATATCTGGTGACTGGGTTGAGCGAAGGGTGCTCGGCGAGGGCGCGCGGGCTATCCTTGTATAGTCTGGCAACCTCATCATCAACAACCATGACTTCTAATTGCTCAGTTCGATAATCATTGGTTTCGGGGTCTTCAAATTCCGGTCCCATAAGAGCCTTTTCGCTGACAAGACTTTCCAAGTCGCGAACGAGCTTGTGGGTGTCGCACGACCAGCCACTGACAGCAATAACATCGGGGCGACGGCGGTTGACCAGTTCCACGAAAGCGTCGCGCTGGTTCTCGTCTCGCCCCAAATTAGAGAATTTGCCCTGTTCCAACACGCGACCATCTTCGGGAACCCAGGCCCAGCATATGGGGTCACGCGCTGGGTCGCCCATACCGTTGGAAAGCGCAAGCACGCGCGGCGGTGTTCCCAGAACCATACCCTTGGGCTTGTAGGGCGCCTGATCTAGCTTCCTGTAGTAGTCTTGACGGACCATCTTGAGCACTTCGTCTTGGCAAAAGGTGCGAATGACCTCCTTGATATTTTTGGCAATGGCTTTCTCCAGCTTAGGATAAGCCGCATCCAAGACTTTCTTGCGCTCCTCCCGCCACTGCTCGGCACGGTCACTGAAATTCTCCGACTCGAATGCCTGGTACAGTTGCTTGCGGAAATCGAAGCGAGACGGCATGATGAGCTTAATCTCGATGAGACCCTCCTCCTCCGCTCGCATCATCTTGAGGAAAATGTCAGGCTGATGCACCAGATCGGCAATTGTTTGATTTTGCAAGTACTTGATTTCGTAGTATGGGTGAGTATCATCAATCTTGCGAAGACCCTTGTCCGTGCGGCGACAGCTGATTTCGGCAAGCTGATAGTACGAGTTGCGGAAGTACTTCCTCATGCGAGGGCTAGCATAGAGTTCTTCCGCGTACATTTGTCTGGCTGCATTGATGACCTGGTCGCCAGTGTTGAAGTTGTCATCAATTAGGCTGTCGGCAAGGTCCATGGGGTATTGCGAGTCGTCATCAGGCGTCACCTTTTTGCCCTGACGAAGAGCGTTCTTGGCTAACTGATCGGCTGAGATGCCATAAGCCTTGACAAAGTAGTAAGCCTTGCCATTGCGAACACGATCCAGAAGACTGCTCTTGGAGCCAGGCTTCTTCATCTGAGCAACATTGCCAGCCATGACCACCAGATCCTTGAGCTTGGGGCCGTACTGGAATTGAAGATAGTCTTGCAAGTCTTGTAGCTCCTCCATAGTGATCGCCTCAGGCATCATGTCTTGAACCATTTGATCTTCGACCTCTAATGACTTGAGGTTGTCAAATGTTTTTTCTAGCGCATTCTTCTTTTCGATGAATGACCGAAACTTGATGTCGAGTTCTAGAATTCGCCAAAGGTCATCCTGATTTAGCAGCTTGTCGGATTGAATGTTATAGTCAGGACCGTCCGGATCATCGTGTGCTGACTTGCGAATCTTTTTGGAGTGAAGTAGATAGTCTTTGCGATGCTGGAAAACGAAGGGGACTTCCACCTCATCGACAACGAAGAACTCTAAAACCTTGCCAACTGCTTTACCGAAAGGCGCCTGTAGTTCTGGAGATAGGCCCTTCTTGGGCCACAGTTGGTTACTGATCCATTTGGCCTCGTCACGAAATTGCTCAGCTGTGAGCTGAAGGTTCTTAAACGGCTTGCGCTCCAGCTGGAATCGCTCGGGTTCGTCGGTAAAGCGAATCTGGTTATCTTCGTCGGTCAGAAGCTTCTCCTTGAGCTGCGAAGGCTCAAAGACGTCCTTGAGCTCGATGCCCTGTTGGTCTCGTTCGCGCTCCTCCTCTTCGTCTTCCATCTGGAGAGCCCAGTCATAATCTTCGCCATTGCCAAAGATGGCTTCCATGTCATCCAAGGCTTCTTTGTCAAGGCCAGTAGTATCGACGATTCCAGATACGCCCCGGTCCTTGGAGCGGGCGACCTCAACATCCTCCTGAGCGCGCTCGCGCTCGTCATCATCCTCAGGGTAATCGTCCTCGATGAAGTCGTCAAACTCGTCGGCTTGAGAACGGAAGTTAGGTCGATAGCCTCGTTGATCACCAGCTTCGTCATCTTCATCGTTGAAAATGTCTTCGAGTCCCGCGGGTCTGTTTACATCGCCATCGCCACGATGGCCACGCTTTAAGCGCTTGAATTTGGACTGCGCTGCGTTAGCTAACTGGGATGATGCCAGAATCCCTTCCTTACCTGCGACTGTGATTTTGGCTGTTCGCCGTACTGCTCTCCGACAAGATCATAATCATCCTCGTCCAATTGCTCTTCTTCTTCGCGATCGCGCTCGCGATGTTCGCGTTTCCTCTTGATGGGTCGATCTTCGTCGTCGTCGCCACCATCTTCTTCTTCATCTTCGTCCTCGACAATGAAGCCTTCCCGAATCTATATCTCTGTTAGCAAATGAATAATCACAGAGCCAGTGCGCACTAACTTTGCGCGCTTCCTCCTCATCATCATCGTCCTCCTCTTCCTCGGAGGAATCGTCGAAATCTTGAGGTCGAACGCTTTTGCGCTGGCCGCCGGTTCCTTCGTCAAACGACTCGTCATCCTCCTCGTCATCGAGCTCTGCCTCGGCAGAGATCAGATCGCGCATACTGGTGCTCATCTTGGCGGCCGATGCTTGCTGCCCGAAAGAGTTGCTGGTGGCTCGGCGCGATTCGCAGTAGGGCCTCGATTCGAGGAAGGCAATCGAGACGCAGATGAGTGGGAATCGAAAAGGATGTCAAGAACCTCCTCGGATATTCCCTACAGATGCCGTTTTGCTGCGCGACCTCCTCCGTGCAACGTATAATTTTTTTCTCGAGATTGCTTGTTGAAGCTACCAGTGCCCGTGTCGCGCTGCACGCAAGGGTGATGGTTGGCTGGAAATATCATGTTCCGGGGCAGATGCTTACGTAAGACAGGTGCGTACTGGACGTTGAAGATTTGGCGTTGAGCATTGAGCAAACAGGATTAATCATGCAAATCCATAATGAATCTAAAAGAATTTTTGCGAATTGAAAACTTCTCTGCTCTTTCAATAGCGTTATATGCCGTGTTTCCTATCTCATGGCAAAGATGGTAAAGATGACGTTTTGATGTGAGAGTTTTTTAGACAGTGCAGCCCGGTAATGAGCGTTATCTGGTGAGGGTTGTTCTGCGATTTCGACCACAAGGTAGCGGTATGGCGGGATATTGGACTTTCCAAAAGAGGAATGTATGCAGTGGTGTAACGCGCTTGTGCTGAATATTGCAATGGTTTCTCACGATGGTCTCGCAGTATCGCAATAGCCCTTTGACTCAAGCGGGCACCGATAGCAAAGGCAGCCATAACTAGATGGGACTCTTTGATTCAAGCCAAGTGCCAGTACAGTACCGTCTATCAACTAATATTGCCAGGCACATGACAATGCTATGCACACAACACTCTGTAACACCAGAGGCGGTTGCAACAAGGGACAGCCAGTAATATTCGAAAGCGGCATCTAGCATGGACCACCACTTGACCACGAAATGCCCCTGACGAAGGAGTTTTGGGCGAATTCGGTGTGCCGCTCGAGCCCCCTAGCATCCCCCGCTATTGGGCTTGGCTTGGGGGAGTTTGGGCGGTTAAGCCTCTGAAGGTACAGTGGGCCTTGAGTAGGTAAGTAAGTACCTTACCTAGCAGTTGATGGCATGCTGATAACGTGATATCTGTACCGTTACCTAGTAGTTATAAAGCCTGAGTGGTCCTCGAGACGTCCAAGGAAGATACCCAACAGTCGGCCATTGCTGTCTCTCTAAAGGTGACGGATAATCCCGTGCAACAATCCAGTTAGTAGTTCGCTGTGAAATACCAACCTACCTTACTTAGGTAGGTACCTACCTACCTACCTAGCAGGTGGGTACCAAAAAACATGGCCGCTCTCTGGCCTTGACAGTAATATTACCACCTAAAAAGAAACTACTATAGTTAATTCTAGATAAATCTAACAAGTCTTAAAATAAATATATAAAGACTTATACTAAAGAAGACTTATATTATAGAAAATATAAGTAAATAATAAATTATAGCCTTTAGAATTCCTTATTTTAAAATATATAGAATTTTTTCTAATTATATTAAGTATTATTATCTTCTTTTTAGGCTAATATAAAGTTATAATATTTATTTATAAAATTATATAAGGCTAGAATAAAGTGTAAATAAGTTATATATATTTTTATATATTTATTATATATTTTATTAATAATTATATAGTGGTATTATAAAAAAGGCTAAAAAGCGGCCATGTTTTTTGGTACCCGCGTGCCTAGGTACCTACGGCTTCCGACCCCACCTCTCTACAGTGGCGACCATCACCTGATGGTACCTAGTTCGTTCCTTCGCGCCGTGCAGCAGCCCAACGTCAAATCATTTCCAGGCAGTAAAAGTTCTCTTCGTCATTGCTCATCAAGCTGCTCTAGGCTTGTAGACACTGCCAACATAACACCTCGCCCTCTTCCACCTGTTTGCTTGTGCCCATCGCCCCTGTCACACTCCAAGCGCCTACTACCTCTTCTACCCCACAGCTCGACATTCCCCCCTCGATAACCTACGTCGTGTCCCACGTTTAGCAGGGCTTTGTCCTCACCACAGTCGCCATCTGACTCGAGTTGGGAGATGAGCCTCCGACTAGTCTGACCTTTACTGTCTCCTTCAACATACTTGAATTCGCCTTCATTCCTTCCTACACACGACCTCCGCGCGTCAGCTTCCGTCACCATGGCCGACCCGTTTGCCCCGCGCTCGATGAAGCGCAAAAACGTAAAGGGGCTTGCTCTTACACCTGCCGCACCAAAACCACCTCCTACGGCCGAGAACCGCCCAGACTTTGATGGAGCCGGTGATGGGACCAGCAAAGATGGCCAGCTCGAGATTGGCATCGAATACAAGCTCGATCTGCGACCCGAAGATCTCGAGATTGTCAAAGAGCTCGGCTCCGGAAACGGCGGCACTGTGAGCAAGGTGAAGCACTTGACTACGGGCACCGTCATGGCTCGCAAAGTATGTTTATAATACGCCAGCTTTCCGAACTTCCACTAATTAAGGTAAAGGTTATTCATGTCGATGCCAAGAAAGAGATGCGCAGACAAATCATCCGAGAACTACAGATTATGCACAACTGTCATTCCGACTACATCGTCAACTTTTATGGCGCATTCTTGAACAGCAACAACGATGTCATCATGTGCATGGAATATATGGACGTAGGGTGAGTTACCTCAAATTGCATACTTTTTTAGTATGCGCTTCTGATCTTGTGCAGCTCTTTGGACCGCGTCTCTAAAGTTTTCGGCCCTGTTCGAGTCGACGTCCTCGGAAAAATCGCCGAAGCTACTCTTGGCGGCCTGACCTATCTCTATACGAAACATCATATCATGCATCGGGACATTAAGCCGTCCAACATTCTCGTCAACTCTCGCGGATCTATCAAACTTTGCGATTTTGGTGTCTCTGGAGAGCTTATCAATTCGATCGCCGATACCTTTGTTGGCACATCAACGTACATGGCCCCCGAGAGAATTCAAGGTGAACGCTACACTGTCAAGTCAGACGTCTGGAGCTTTGGTCTTTCAATTATGGAACTTGCCATTGGTAAATTCCCATTCGGCTCTAATGAGCAGCTTTCAGACGAAGACTGTGCTCCGGCCGGTATTCTTGATTTGCTGCAGCAAATCGTTCATGAACCGGCCCCAAAGTTGCCCAAGAGTGATGCTTTCCCCAGCATTCTCGAAGATATGATTCAAAAGTGTCTGTTCAAGGAGCCAGAGCGACGGCCTACACCACAAGATCTCTTTGTAAGTCACTACTAGTTTTGATATCGCGATCTTGCTACTGATAGTTTCAGGACCGCGACGCGTTCGTACAAGCCGCTAAAAGAACTCCTGTTGACCTTCGCGAATGGGCTGTGGGCATGATGGAGCGCGATAACCGCAAGTCTCACCTGGCTCCTCAGCTATCACCTTCCACACAGGACTTGCTCCGATCCAGCGACTCGCCCACATACAACAACGGGTCTGACGAGAGAAAATCGCACACGCCAACGTCGGGTGAAATTCCCATTGGCGGTGCCGGTATTGTTACTCCGCGCGACCATGCAAATGGTACTGGCCGAAGCCCCTCCAGAAATGGCTACACCAGCAATGCTAAGCCACCAGTGTCTGCTCACCCTGGCCTGGGTCCTCGCTACGCATCCGAGTCTGGCCATATTCCGGGCGGATATACCGACACGCGAGGCCCAGCTAGTGCCAACGCCGCGACTTTCAGTCTTCCCGTCCGGCCTGCGCCTCCATCAGGGCCACTTCCTCCCGCGCCAGTTCGACGAAATACTCCAGACGCCCCGCCACGGGAAAATCGTCGTCAAGCAACATTCGGTCTGCCTCCTAACCCAAGCTCTGGCTATGGAGTATGAGGGGGCGCTAGCAAGGACGCATTTGACATTTTACGTTTTATCTTCTTTTCTCTTCTCTCCTTTCTGAATTTACAAGCTAGTCATTTCAACATTTGAGATTTTGCCTGCGTGCAAAGTTCATCTTTCTTTCGTTCCCTCAAGCATTGTACGGCGCAGCACACATAACGATATCCCTCGCGGAAACTAGAGAAACAATTGAGCAATAAAGCAAATGGAGGAAAGGGGGGATGATGGGTTGCGTTGCAGCTTTTGTTTTCTTCAGACATGGGCCACAAGGCAATCCCAGATAGAATGCGCAGCCAGTCACAATCCTGCTCTTTTTCTGTGGCCCTTTTCTCGATCATGACACATGCGATGCCAGTGAATCGGAGGCTGTGAATCAAGGTGCTTTATCTATGCAAATATTTAGGCTAATAACACCATCTATACGGCTAGTTGGTCGCAGTGCTGCGACCCTAGAAACCGTTTTCTAGAATGTCCACAAGCTCGTCTAGGCGACTAATGACCAAGTCCGTATGTGCGTGCTCGACAAGCTCCCTGTTGGCGTCATTCACGAGCAGGACCGTCGTCGCGCCCGCCGTCCTCCCCGCCGTCATGTCGTCGATGGAGTCGCCAACCATGATGAGCCCCGTTGCGTCCGCGCTCACCGGCGCACTGTCGTTGTCGCGCTGCCGTCGCCGCTCCCACTGCTGGGCAATGTGCAGGATGCCAGCGGGCGAGGGTTTGGGGGGCTGAAAGTCGCGCGTGATGACGGGCGCAAACGTCGTGTAGGCGAGGAACTTGGCCAGAAGGTGGTCAACGGGTACGTTGAAGTTGCGGGTGCAAATGGCCTTGGGGACGCCGCGCGCGTCGAGGTACCGCATGAGGACGTCGAGGCCCGGCTGCGGCGTCTGCTTGGCCATGGCGGCGCGCTCGATGCCCTGGACGGCGGCGTGCGCCGCGGGCTGCTCCGCGGCGGGGAGCGAGTTCATGTGGTCGATGATGTCGACAGCCTTAGTGATGCCAAGGGCGGCACGCATCTCGCCAAACATGTAATTTTGGGGTTCACTGAATGAGATTAGTGTCGAAGGTCTTACATGCGTGTGAGTGCATTCGTCAGGACATTTGCCGAAGAGAGGGGGCGTGTGTGGGGGGCCACATACCAAAGAGTTCCGTCCATGTCGAATACGATGCCCTGCAGCTTGGGTGCATCGGAAGAGCTCCCGGGCTTGAGAGGCGCGAATCGTTTGGGTGAGTCGGAGGCAGCCATCGTTGCTAGGAAGCGGCGCATGTAGACAACTGCGCATGAGACTTGTGACGGGGCGTCGATGAGCCTTTTATGCAGCAAAATGTTGCTTCCGTGCCTTGAATCTCGGCTGGGTGCACGTGCAAACAAGCCCTATCTTGTCTCGGGAAAGAGCAGATGGTAGCACAGTGTCCGACAGATTGAATGTAAATGAGAGATTGAAGCAATATGCACGAGCAGATTTCGGGAAAGGGACCAAGGGCGTACTACAGAAACAAAGGTGGGGACAGACGAACCAACTTCGAAGTCGTGAGAGACCGAAGCAGCTATTTGAGGATCTGTTGAAAACATAACTTACAGTGAGAAGTATGGCTTTGTAATTCAAATATTATATTATCGGGCCGAATATATCTAAGTGCAACTTGTGCGATATGTTTGTGCCATTTAATCTGCATGGCGGTCAATGTTGTTTCCGATGGGCCCTGGGGAAGACCCATCAGATTAGAGATGAGAAGCCTAGAAATGGTCCTGCAATGCATTAAATAGTATGCTACCGCTGCTTGTCAGTATCCCCGAAAACCTACGAGATTTGTAATTAACTATTCGAAGCTTGCGGGTAGCAGGAGTAGCCATTGTTCGCGAAGCTGCTGTATCTTACCAATCGGCTTCCCCAAAGCCCAGCTCAGGAGAGTCATGAATCACTGATGCACCGATCCGATCCGAGATTAACCTGGTCTGGCGGAGCTCATACATGATCTCGCCAAGATGGTATCCGAGCCTATATCCTGATGGGTGGCGATGTCCTCGAGATAACTAAAAGAATCAAGAACTGAACTGTCGATCCTAGCCTGAAAATTGTAGTGGCTTCACAAACTTTTTATGTTCAGACAATCGAGAATCAGACTGCAAGGTTGGCACATGAGGTGATTGGTTTTTTTTTTTTTTTTGGGTTAAATCAGGTTGCATGCACCATTGACTGTTAGGTGATGCAGCACGTTGAGGATTTGCGAGGCGTGAGGTAGCAGCCACCACTTTGCCAACTCATCACTATCCTTAAAACTTAGTGGAAAAAAAACCCCCTTTTTTTGGTGAGCACACCCTAGTTGCTTGGGATGCAGTAACAATGCTTCTCAGCGTAGTACTTTTGACTCGGTTTTCGGCAACATAGCGCCGCCCTCCACACGGCTGGACCAGCATCGGGAGCTACCACGCCGAGGAGCAAGCAGAATGTGACGAGTAGGACGTAATAATCAGCAGTTATATGCTTACCAAGCCATCTTGTCTAAGCGGTGTCCTACTGTACAATTTATTGATTTTCTGCTCCGAATACAAATAGGCCAAAAAACAAAACAGATGCGGCCCGGCGAAATGTGTGTAGTCCCGAATGTGTGTACTCATCCCAGTGCTTGAGTCATCGCGGAGGGTGATTATGACAAGCAGGACAAAAAATGGAACCGCTAGAGGCTTCTGGGATAATAACGTGGCACTGGATAGGTACACACCCGCCCTTTCAAGGGACGTCAAAGTCACTCCAGTGTCAGTGGTGGCGAAAGTATTGCCGATCTTGTTGGTAATAAGGCATCAAGCCAATCACCGCGTCCTCAGACCAGTTGACAGCAAAAAGCTTCATCAATTCATCAGATCCACGGCATGTGCTGGGAAATTCCCCGCCTTGCCCTGCGACAAAGGTTCAGGGCAGCCTTGCGCTAGGTAGGCGGCGAAAACACCCCAGCACCCCCCCCCCCCTTCCCTCCCCAATCACGGCAAACGGAATCGTTGAGTCGTTGTTTACCCGTACAACTAGTTCCAAGATTAACGATGCTGTCAAGCAACCACTTGTGGCTTTGTTTGGCGCACTTGGAAGGAAGAGACTGGCTCGATTGGTAAATGATTAGCGCAGCTGCCAGATTTCGTTTTGTCGCCACCCACCAAATCGGTCTGATGTCGTCATTCACAATCCAATTTCACAGCCCTGTAAATACGGAGCATTAACCGACTTCTTCCAAATCCGCTTGTCAATTCTCACACTGTCTAGACCTGTCTTGACCTGTCTTGATCTATCTTGATCCAAGTGGGCGATTGCACAGTCGCAAACCATGTCCAGCCGGCAACAAGTACAGGTTGCGTGCCAGCGATGCCGCCAGCGTCGAGCAAAGGTGTGTCTTCTCTACCGCCAGCAATAGTGACTCAGCTCCCAGAATAGTCATGCGCGACTCCTTTCAGGGTATCCCTTTCTCTATAATGCGGTTGCAGACTCTGCCGTCCCCCATGTGCGACAGTGTTGCTGACGTTGGACCGGACCATAGTGCAGTGGCGAGCAGCCATGCCTCAGGTGCGAGCAACGTGGCGAAACATGCGAGTACAAGAAACGCGAATGGCTGTCCAAGGGCGATTTGCGCGCCGAAATTGGGCGCCTTCGGCAGGGCATCGACAAGTCCACTTCTTCGCGAGGCCAGGATCCGCGCAACGACTCCGGCGCAGACGAGAGCGCCTTACTGAGCTGGATAAAAGAAGTCAAGTCACCCGAAGACGGTCCTAGCGGTTCTCTCTCTGCAGGAGATGCCAAAGCCTTTTCAGGCGACTCGGCTCCGGGACGAGCAGGCGCCTCACCCATTCTGACCAGCACCTCGGTCAGCTCATCCTCGTGCTTTGAACAGCTGCTTTCTTGGAGATCCTGTCATCCTACATTTGATCAACGGAATCAAGAGAGGTCTACTTCGACTAGGAAAGCAGGTCGAGAGTTGACATTGCCGTCCGCTCCTCTCGATGCGTACGCCAGGTCGACAGACATGGATCCATGGACTCAGGTCGGGTGGACTCGCGCCCATATCCGGCACCTTTTCGATGTTCTGGTCACCTGGGATAGCATTTCTCTCTGTATACTAAGCAAAAAGCAGTTTCTGCAAGACTATGAGACCGGTTCGTTACGGTTCTGCTCTTCTGCGCTCGTCCATGCAGTACTGGCGGTCTCTACACGGCTCATGAACGAGGTAAGGGATGATGCACATATTTTACCAACGGGGTGGCTCGGAAGCCATTATTTCCTGCAAAAGGCAAATTCCACACTTAAAGCACAAGGTTCAGTCGATAGCCTTCCCGACATTCAGTCTTTGGGCATGCTTGCCCTCTACCACATCCGCTGTGGCCAGGAGAAGGAAGCAAGGCAGCTCGCCGAATCGTGTTCAGCACGCATACAGTCTCTCTGCGTCAGAGAGTCTGTTTTAAATGCACCTGACGCCGAGTATGCCAAGGTACGGGCTGCAACCTATTGCGGCGCAATTTCTTTACTCAGGTATATTTCATTAAATTCCCTGCTACTATTACCACACGTCTGATGTCCATGCCAGGATGCTTAATTTGACAACTGGAGTGGTTTTCAACGATTCTCAACAGTCACAAGAAGATTCATTTGTTCTGGATCAGCTCCCATGCAATGGCGCTGGGATAAACTCGATAAGCCTAGGTATGCCACAGCAATTGACGAAAATATCAATATCACAGGATTTCTAATTGAGTAGATTTAACTTACGATACTGCGATGACTTTGCAACTTGCGAACCCCCAAATACTCTTTGTCAAGATGTTTCAGCTCACCGAGTGGGTATACAAGGTCATCGTCGCTCACCAGAAAGATTCGCTGTCAAATCAAAAGAAAGTCTTGGCAACCTACACAAAGTGTCTCGGCTGGTATCGTGACGTTTTCGAGCTTGTCGGCGATGGCGGGAGCCGGAGCCCGTTCATTCTATTCATCCAGTAAGCCACTACCACCTTTTTGACACTTCTATGCTAATCATGACCATGCAGTATGTACTACCACTTTTGTCTGCTTTGTGCGTTTCGACCGTTCATTGGCTGCAATTTTACAGATACGGAGAGTCAGCCGCACGAAATGTGTGGTCAAGCAGTTCAGTCCATCCTGGCACTCGCGCAATCCTACGACGATCTCTTTACGCTCAGACGCGTGTCAGCCCTGATCCCGTACTTCGTATGTGCCTCTGGACTTTTCAGCCTAGCGATCGAAGATAGCGGATCAAAAATGGACTTTATTCATTTACGTCCTCAAGGAGCCGTCATTTCCGAGATACCTCCGCCGCTGCTTACGAACTTGGCTGAGCCTGCTTCCGAGACATTACTATCGCGAGTCCGAGTATCAACTGTGGTCCAAGCCCGTCTCCTGTTGTCGAAAATGGGAGAAAGTCACCCAGCGGCGGCTTTAGCAGCCGCGAAGCTTAGAGAAAGCTCGCAAAGCTGGCGGTCCCCAGAGGTCAACTTTTCCTAAGCGCAGGGACAGGGTGTTTCGCAGTATTTGGTGGGGTACGGCATTTTGGCTTGGAAGTTTGGTTCGCATAATGTATTATTATTACTATTGTTTTGGAAAAGACTCATGGTCTCATGAGCCAAAGCTTCTGTGATAAGATGATTGAAGGCGGGGATGTTGGTCGGCAACCACCAGCTATATAAGCACTCCAAAGCCTGGGAAAAATGGCACACATTCGAAAGTTAACTCGTTCGTATCATGTGGATAGCTAGAC